TGTATTTATTTAGGTAAATAAAGTTTAGTATTTTTGTAAAATTATTTAAAAAAATACAAAACTCGTACAATTGGATACATTAGCAGAAAATCTGGAAACAGATGATGGTTTCTATAAAAATGTAACCCACAGCAACATAAAGGTGGAGTTGTGTCTCAGCCTCATGTTGTTGTTTTGTTTTGATGTTTTTGTTTGTTTTGTCTGAAGAAGAATCAAATAAAAAAACATTTAACATTCACGGTGGACGTTTTATTTCCTCTGAAGGAATGATTTAACAGATTTTTTTAATATTTTTTTAATCTTTGCTTCTGGAGAAGGAGCAACAGCCTGAATGAAAACAGAACCTGGTCCGAGCTCGCACCGGGTCATCGTTCAGAACCAGCGAGGAGAACAAAGATTCATCAGAAACTGTTTCTAACTAAATATCTCCAGCTGAGGGATCTTACTGGTTCTGTTGGTTCTGTGTGTCCAGGCTCGTCTCACGTCGGGGACCCCCGGGCCACCTCCACCACCAGCTCCCCCTCCTCCTCCCCTCGCAGCCCCAGCAACCTGGGAAGCGGTGTCTCCAACCCGGTTCTGAACGGAGGCCCGAGTTCGGCTGCGTACTGCAGCTCAGCAGGAGGTAGGTCCACCACTGAGACCCCACCACCCCTCTGGGTGGGGGTGTGGGGGGGGGGTGTTTTCATGGGGCGTTGAACAGACGTCGTCCTGCAGAGGTTCACAGCCCGACCACTGCAGCTGCAGCTGGACTGAGGAAAACATCCAGCTGGTTCTGATCCACTGAGCTTGTGCAGCCTTCGAAAACTCCCGGCGGCTGAACTGAAGCAGCCAAAACCAACTGAGGTCTTTGCCGTCACGGCTTTTTAACTGGGGGGGGGGGGTTTAGTGCAAACTTTCCAGCAGTTTTCCAATCAAACACAGGCACAAACCGCTCATTAGAGGCTTCATTCCTACAGTTTCTGTCTGCCTGTCACATTGAGAGTGACGTCAGGGAGTGACAGACGCAGCAGAGTGGTTACCATGGTGACCCTAAGGAGCCACCAGCAGCAGCGACTGACCTTATTCAGTTACGTTAGCTTTTAGCTAAAGTTTCTTTGTGGTTTTTGTTCACCTGCAGCGAAGTTTTCTCAAAGTTTTGTGACTAATTTAAACTCGTCAGTTTCGTCGTCGAACTCCGGCAGAATAAAACCCAATGTCCGTTTCAGGCGTCGCAGAGCGAAGAGGGGACCTGGAGACACCATCTGTCCATGCACGTTGTGAACATTAAAAATGAGGAGGATGCCGACTTTTACTTGGGTCTGTGGCTGCATCTTGGCTCCTTTCAAAAACTCCACTGCCAAGTCAAAATCCAAGATGGCTGCCACCATATGTGCATATGCTAACCTTGTTAGCTGGGTAAAATGAGCAGCATGCTGGTTTCCATTTTAGTGTGGCTGCATCAGATGTAAGAAAGGTCACTATCAAAATTGGTTTGCCACGTCAAAACCCAAGATGGCCGCCATCATTTACATTCGTAAACTGGCCATCTGTATCATTTAAGGAAACTCTGCTTTCTAGTTTTTATATTACTTAAAGTATATCCTGATGCCTGCTCAACAATCCTTATACTTAAAAGTATAGTTTCCTCAATTGACTGTGGTGGACAAAGATTATTCTATAGCAGCCAAGGCCACCATTGGCCACCCCTTGGCTCCACCACTGGACCTGCTGGTGGATGAAACTGATCCCTCCTCTCTCCAGGATCCGTCTCTCTGCACCGCCTCAGACTAGATGAAAATAAACCCCGCCCTCTGTTCTCCACAGAAGAACTCCTCCAGACTTGGAACATCTTGCAACAAAAACATTTAGGTTTACGTCATCCTCTGTTCAGTTCCAGTCCAGAAAAACACTCCTCTCCAGAACTACAAACATTCACTGTTCAAACCCCTCAGGGACGGGGACGTCTGTGTTGTTTAATGATCCTGGAGAGAGGAGGGAGACATTTTATCCACCAGCAGGTCCAGTGATGGAGCCAGGGGGTGGCCAATGGTGGCCTTGGCTGCTATAGAATAATCTTCGGCCACCCCAGTCATTTGAGGAAACTATACTATTAATTAACGTAAAAACTAGAAAGCAGAGCTTCCTATCATTCGGAGACATGTTTCTGTCTCCGTCTCCTGATTTCTTCTTCTCTTTGTTTTTTCGGAACAGGGACCGTCCCCAGCTCCCCCGCCAGCCTCCCCAAGTCCCCGACGTTCCCGTCGGGCCGAGAGCCGTGGTCCGACGAGTGCTCCATCTGCTACGAGAACTCTGTGGACACGGTCATCTACACCTGCGGACACATGTGTCTGTGCTACACCTGCGGCCTGAAGCTGAAGAAGATGTCCAACGCCTGCTGTCCCATCTGCCGGAGACAAATCAAAGACATCATCAAGACGTACCGCAGCACGTAGACCGACCGGAGGACAAGTCAACGACTCTTCTTGGATTTTTGAGGGAATCCTGGACCCGTTTAGTTTCTCGTGTCCCTCCGGGGCTGAATGTCTCGGTCTGGCTGCAGCTCTGAGACATTACCGGGTTTGACGGCACACCTGCAGCAGGTGCAGCTCAGGGTGTGGCGCGGCGGACCCGACGCGGTGGCGGGCGCGTGTTTTAGTAGTTCCGGGTGAGCTGAAGAGCCGCCCGGCGGTGCTGTAAGTAGGATTGTAATCCCTCTTGTGTAATCTGCTTTAAACTGTCGGTAGCTGTGTCGTGCTAGCTAGCTGCTTGCTCTGCAGTGTGGTGAAATCAGCCTCGTCTCAGAAATTCACCGTTTTTTAAACCGAGAGGAAGAAAAAACTTCTGTTCAATCAATCAGCTGCAGCTCGGGCAGCAAACAGGAAGTGGATTATTTTTATGAAGACAATAATTTGGTTACTCCTCAGGGCAATCTGCTGTTCCTCAGATTTTTTTTCCCCAAAATTGTGCTCCTCTAATCTCTCCTGAAACACTGTGAAGTCGTCCCGTAACAACACAGAGTCGAAGGATTGTTGCCATGGCTACAGCCTCCTGCCTTAACACACAGAGCGTCCTGTGTTTCACAAACAACAGAACCAAAAAACAAAACACCGCCGGCGTGTGGCGCTGCGGCCGCTCGCTCGGAGGAGACAAGCACACGGATCAGATTATTTTTGTAGAATAAATCTATTTCTAATGATCAAATCTTTTAACGTGACGGGACGTTCATCAGCAGCCGAGGTCCTTCACAGAAAGTTCAGGGTTAAAAAAAAAAAAAAACAATCGTTTAAATATTTGAGTATTTTTTGTTTTAATCTGCCCGCGATTAAAAATAATGAGTTATTTTAAATGTTTTATATAAAAAATCAGGTTCAACCTCAGATGAACACAACGAATATTACAACACGTCGTTTATTGAAGAAAAACAAAACGTTTAGGCTGTGAGTGGAAAAACTGCGTCCAGGAATAATTCATGCCAGGGCGGAAAGACAACAGCAGTGACCTCAGAGTAACAATCTCTGAAGGGTCGAAGGTCATTTAGCGAAGGATTCTTTACAAGTCAATTTATTTATAAAGCACATTTAAAACAGCAGCTGTTACCAAAGTGCTTAACAGTAAAATCACAAGAAGACATTTCAAACGGCTGATTCACCCTGAAGGTCAGACCGTGCAGCGACCCTACAGGCCTCAGTCAGCAGGTCAAAGGTCATGGCCTGTTCTCTCTAAAAACAACATGGCAGCTCGACTTAGGTTTGTAAAGTTTCATGTGAAGGAACTACAAGACTTCTGGACCAGAACCAGACCGGAGGACAGATGGTTACCCAGAATGCACCGCAGCAGACAGCTCCCCCCAGATGTCAGCACGGTGGCGGAGGCTGATGGTTTGGGCTCCTGTCAGTCTCTAAGTGGACCAGGAACTCCTCTGGAGATCAACGGATTCTGGAATCAGATGAGTCCAACAGGACCATGATCCCAAACACAGCAGCTGATCTACAACAGAACAGAACCAAGGTCCAGAACCTGAACCTGACTGAGATGCTGTGGTGGACCTTCATAGCTGAACAGAACTCTCAATGATGGTACGAGGAGTGGGCCAGAACCATGATAGAGACTGATGAAGTCCTACAGAGAACTGGTAAGGGCTCTGGTTCTGCAGGAGATTCTGCTGGGTCTGGATCTCAGTTGGATCTGGTTTAAAGTGTTAGTGTTCATCTGAGGTTGTTCCTCCTTAAAGACGCTCCGATGTGTGAGACTCTTCATCAGAGTGATGAAGACGCAGCGCAGAATGAACGGGGCTCCGGGTTCTGCTGCTGACCGTGGTTCTGCACGACCCACTTCGCCTCCCACTCTGCTCTAAGTGTCGATCCACAGCTGAATGTTGATTCCTGTTTACTTCCGGGAACTGTCCGATGATGTTTTGTACATTTTCACTCCGTTTGAACGGATAATCGTCGTTTCCTTTCAGGCTCCGTGAGAGTTAGTTTGATTTCTCTGCGCTCGTCTCCTCTGGTCTGCAGAAGTTTGTGTTTTTCTACGTGTTTGTTGAAGACCGACGTCACTTTATGAGGCCACTGATTGTACTCCTGTAGATGTTTCGGCTGCTCTCAGCTGTTTTTACTCACCTGTACGTTCACCTTGGTCGTGCTCGTCGCACCTCTCGTGCACACAACTCCCGGCTCCGTGAATGTTTTCGAAGCTGTAATGGAATATTTATTTACTCTTACGTTTACTTTGTTTCTTTTGGAACTTTTTGTCTTTTCTGATTCGTTTCGGGACCAAATGATGGGACTCACCTGTCAGCTGTGCTCACTGGAGTAACTTTTTGATTTCCTGTCGTTTCGAGCATCAGGTCTCTGTGACCGGACTGCTTATTAAACTCTGCACACGAGCTTTCTTGTGTTTGACTCCTGTTTTTGTGCTCCTTGTAAGAAAAAACATTTAGGTTTCCTATTTACCAACACAACGGTACAATGTTTATGCAACGTTTCTATCATTGGATCAATGTATGCTGCATGGTAAACAAATCGAGAGCGTTTAACGTTGGTAAAGAACAGAACTGCAGCTGTTTGGGTCAACCTTCAGCTACTACCACACCAGGTTTTAGCTCATTATCTGTAAAACTAACAGAGTTGCAGCTGTTCTTGTGTTGGCTAATGTCGATTAGCTGACGCAAGATGGCAGCCATCTTGACTTTGGTTGACTCCAGAAGTTAAAGCTGATCGTTGAAAAGCCGCGAAGAATACTACCAAAAAAATTAATAATTAAATAAACAAAATCCACAAAATATTTTTACCTTAAAAATTTTTGGTTTATCCTTAAAGGTTTCAAAACACAATTTGTCAAAATTTGTCCTAATGAAACAGCCAAAGTGTGTTTGTTTACCTAATCAAACAGCCAAAGTGTGTTTGTTTACCTATAGAAACAGCCAAACTGTGTTTGTTTACCTAATCAAACAGCCAAAGTGTGTTCGTTTACCTATAGAAACAGCCAAAGTGTG